TAAATAAATAAATAAATAAATAAATAAATAAATAAATAAATAAATAAATAAATAAATAAATAAATAAATAAATAAATAAATAAATAAATATTATTTGTCAAATGGCAAATGTAATACAAACTATCTTGTGGGTCAAGTTTCTCCAACTCTATTTCCTGATGGGTAAAACTAAATTTCTCATTAGGCACATTCTATGTCCATACTGATTGAAAATGATGTTAGTTTTTACCCCTTCAGGAAGATATTACTTTGAGGGAAAGACTACTATAAGCAAGCCATAAGATATAAGCATGCACATTATCTGATTCCAAAATATTAGACATTGCAGTAGTGGGTTCTGGCCGGTACAGCCCGGTACGGCCATACTGGTAGTAGCCGGGAGCAGCGGCCACTGTACTTGTATGGTGGCTCGTTTGGCCCACCCGCCTGCCCATGTTCCATACCTGTTTATAACGCAACCAACCAATTGCGCATGCACGCACAGCATGCGGTGCCTGTGCGACCTCCGGCGAGCAGCTGGATGTTGCAGGGGCGGTGGTGTGTGCAATGCGGGTGCACGACTAGGACACCCGGCCCCATGGGCAACGTACCGGTAGCAACAGAGACCGGAACCCACTGATCCATTGAGTATAAACTCTTGAGCTAAGAACAATATATCTTTCTAGTATCTGCTTACCCGTAGTCTCCAATGAGAAACTATTCATTGTGGAAAAGTGTAAATTCAGTAACTGAAGAAAATTGGTAAATTTATGCTGGTAGCAGTTTATATTTCATTATTTAAGGCCTAAAATTATGCAAGACTTATCATCTCAAATGCATATAATTAATAATGGAGAAATTAAATGATGTTTTTTATTTCATGGAAGCAGAGTAAACATGGATCTTTATTACCATTATTTTTTTTATTCAGCTCCAAATGTGGCCCCTTCTGAGGTTGGAGGAGGAGGTGGAAGCAATAGAGAACTGACAATAACATGGGTGGTAGGTATTATCCAATATCTTTATCTGTATTGTAGAAGAATGTTGTAAACTGTCCAGAGTCACTTAGATGAGATGGTCAGTGTAGACATTAAATAAATAAATAAACAAACAAACAATCAAACAAACAATCAAACAAACAGAAATAAATGCTGAAATAAATTTAGGTTATTATAAATATTACTAAATGATTTGCAAACATACATGATGAATTTTTGTGTCCATACTTACATTTTTTAAGAGTCAAAATTCATTTTCAAAGTGGTTTTAGCAAACAGACTACTTGGTAGGTGAATGCACATAATATAATGGAGATCAGCTACAATATTGATTGCTAAATAGTATAGCCACATTAGAATTTTTCTTGATGAGCAGTCAGTTAGATATTTTTCAGATCACTGCTTAAAGCAGTGCTACTCAGTTTGTGGTCTGGGATCTGAAAAAAGTGCCACAAATCACACCACACCTTTTAAACATGAAGCGATTGCTAGAACCTAGTATACACTTAGAAGAAGCTTGCTTTGATAACATGTTAATTCCATGTGACTAAAGGAGTTGCAAATCTAAACAAATATGAAGCAGTGAGCGCAGCAGAGAAATGTGCATCCACTCTCACCTAGAACCTTGTTTCCCTGCACTTTAAATCACTTAGACTTTGGTGTCTACAATGCCCTACGATGTGCTTTGATTGCACCAATCATTTCCAACTATGAGGGCCATGCAGATAAATTTTATGTTTATTATTTTTTAAGGGGCACCTACACTTACACATCAGTTGGCTGTTTTTTCCCCCAAGTTACACAAGTTCAAACATTTTTTAAATTAGATATGCTGCTTTATTATCCCATTATTTTTCTCTTCCCTAACAACTAATTGTTGCATTAAGCTGTTTTTTTAGTGTGTGTTTTTATTGTAAAGACTGTAATAAAGATATTTGATTTACAGTAATTTGATTTTAATCACTTAGAATGTTACAGTCTATAACAGTACAGGGCCGTTTCCCTAGCTCTCTTACAATGGTTGGAATTCCCCAAATTCCCACCAATCTTAACCAACACATATATCATACAATAGATTTAACATGTAGAAGGCAGCAGCTGGATATAACTGGCTGTTAATGTATTAATTAAACACTCTACTAGACATATGCTACATAGAGTTTGACCTGGCCAAGTTTTAATGGCAAAGAAATTCAGAGTTGGACAGGCATTTATGTAGCACAGTTTGATTAAGTAGTCTTAAAACTTCATTGTATTTTATAACCTTATGGCTTTTCTAAATGAATCCACTTTCTAATTTAAAAACGACTTTTTAAAAATAATTATAAATCATGACTGTTGAAGGAAGTGGTCACCCAAATTTCCAACAACTTCAACTCCCTCTATCACTTCTCTATTAGTTAAGAATTAGGTATAGTATAGCTTTACTTCTAGTTCCCTCCTCTACCTTTTGGATGATAAAGTTGTTGGCTAGGTTGGTTAGGAATCTGTTTGATCTCCCACTCACTGTAAAGTTGGTCTCCCAGTTGTTATCTGGATAGTTAAAGTCTCTCATTACTACTGTGGTATGCTTCCTGCATACATTTGTTAAGTGTTTGGCAAAGAGTTCATCTATTTCTTCTGATTGGTTGGGTGGCCTGTAATATGGCAATGTCCCTCCCCCCCCTTTTATATTGACCCATATATTTTACATCCTGGAGGGTTTTTATTTTTGATCATATGCATTTCTGTAGATATGTAGAGATCTCTCACATATAGTGCAACTCCACCTCCTCTTTTTGTAGATCTGTTTCTTTTGAACAAATGGTATCCATCCATCAGTACATTCCAGTCATGGGTTTCGTCCCATCAGGTTTCTGTAATGGCAACTATGTCATACCTTCCCTCGGGTACTACTGCTTCTAATTCACCCTGGTTGTTTCGTTGTTTCCCAAGTTTTAAGTGTTTGTATATACCGTATATACTCGAGTATA